TGCTTGAGAAATATGGCCAGCAGCAAAAAATTGTGACTAATCCCATCTTTCTATTTCAGGGTTGTTTTATCTTTTCACTGGTGAAGTACAGGCCGCTCACCTATAACAAGCTTTACAAGTATCCTGATTGGTCTGTTGGATTGGGTTGGGTTCTTGCACTCACTTCTATGATTTGCATCCCGATGATGGTCGTCATCAAAATCATCCAATCAGACGGCTCCCTGATAGAGGTGAGTAGGTCATTTACTGTATATAAAACACGTGCAAAGCAACACAACATACACATCTAGTGGCATTATTGATCATTCTATTATATTAGGAAAGTACAATTTATCTGTGATGATTAGGGAAGTTAGGGAAACATTTGCGTCCTATAGAATGATTTGAAAGAAATTAATACTTTTATAGAAAAATATTTGTAGAAATTATATATATATATATATATATACTGTTTATTTACAGTGTAGTGTGATTTAAAAAAATAACTAATTAATCGCACAAGTAATTTTTAGAAAAATATTTATAAAATATATAAAGTAATTAAATATATATATATGTATATATTAGTATATATTGTTATATATATATATTATTAATATTTATGAAATATTATAACTTATTTTTTATTTTATTTACATTTACATTTTAGGAAAAAGTTACTTAAGATTTTCTATGTCCCCTCTATAATACATGTATTCTAAATTTGGCAATTTAAAATTTTCCAAGAACAGAAATGTATCAATCAAATTTTAATTCATTTTCGTATTGTCCATAGATAATTTAGTCATTTTAGTTTTAAAGATGTATTATAATAACATATGGCTTTTTCTTCTTATTTAATTTTTATTGTAATTTTATTGAACTTTTTCTTAATTATTCTCTTCATTTTAAGAAAAAAAGTTAAATCAGACTTGTCTACTTCCCTCTATAATTTTGAATTCATAACAATTTTTTCTTTTTGTTTTTGATTGAATGTGACGGCTGTTTATATTAAATCCGAAATATTTTAAAAATGCCTTTTACTTTTAAAATAAATTTATGACATCATCCATCGTTCAAATTCTAGGCCATAAAAATAATTAGCAGCTATCATGTTAAATATCATGTATCACTGCATTTATCGTTTTGATAATAATCTTGAAAATGCACTCAAATCAATGAACTATCCGTGTTTAGCGGATCAAAGCGGTGGCGGCGCCCGTTAAAGGAGGCGCGAGCTCTCGTCCGAAAGAGTACGGCCTGAAGAACAGCGAGCTGCTTCACCCTCTGGACCCCAACGGCATCCACGTCTTCACCAAACACACCCACACCATCGTAGAAACTACTATGTGAGACTCTCTAAGAGAGATTCCCATATTCCCCTGCTCCTGTCCTCTCCTATGGGAGATCCCGTTTCATGTGTTGTCCCTCTCCCTTCCCCTCTGTTCCTCTCTCTCGCTCTGCACTGGTGCGTTTTTACGAAATGATCTCTTATATTCATATATCTTTTTTTGCCATGTAGGATTTGTAATCACTGGTATTAGCATTAATGCTGATATTGTAATAACCTGATGTGAGCTTTAGCTGTCTGGGGCGGTTTGATTAATCTGTAGTGCAGTTTCACATTAAACCGTGTCCTAATCAGGAGCGACACAGGATTTACAGCGCATCGCTTTACTATCTCTATCAATCAATCCGATTTTTGGTCCTAAACAGTCACGATGAGAGATTTTGCTTTTTCGGTCCTGTCACTCTGGGTAGCCCCCCCACAGTGAAATCCCATTGGTCCAAAATCGTGTTCCGCATAAATTTACATAAAACATTTTATATTCTTATTGTGTTTCACTTTCTCTAAGGAGTTGTATTGTGGAAATTATGTTGCACCTGATTAGGACACAATTCATCAGCAGAGAGAGCGAGTTTTAGCTTCGTTTTTAGGAAAAAAAAATGAAAACAGCAGCGAACTAAATGTGACATTTAGCTCCGTCCGTCAGTGGTTGTGGCTGTAACTCTTGTACGATGAGGTTCTTAAATGTTCTTGAAGAAAAATGAATGTACCTCCGCTTTGGGCGGACGCTGTGCACAGTCATGCACACACACACATGTAAGACATAAGCAAACCTTAACGCTCTGTCCTTCAGTCTCTCCTTGAACTATAGTGATCACTGCCATCGCACACATCGAGTTCATTTAACACTGTAGGCAGCTCTGTTCACTAATATAAATATCGTTTGATGCACTATTATGAGCGTCGTTCACTGTAAGCTGATCCGAGAGCTGATGATTATCAACAGCCGTTTGGCAGCACTTTACTAGCTCTTCATGTACAGCGAGATCCGAAAGTCTGAGACTATGGCTGTGTTCGAAATCACCCCCTATGCACTCATTCACTCCCACTAATACAGTCTACTAGAAGGAGTGAGACGAGGACGACACAAGTTGCATAGTTTGTGCTTGCTGTTTAATGAACAAAACTAGCAGCTCCAGTAGTAAGATGAAAATACATATCTTGAACCTTAACTAAACAATTTAATAACAATTTAAAATGGAATTGATACCTGTATGATATCATGCTGTAGCCACATTGGTCCAGCGGTTTGGAAAATGGATGGATGGATGATTCAGCTGCGGCGCCATCTTCTGGTCAGACACGGGAATTCATTCAGTGCATTATGGGTATTCTCTGGTGCATTGTGGGATTGAATTAGTGCACTCGATTACGTCCATTATGGTTTTCGGACACCACTACAAATGGCTGTCTCAAATAGTGCACTTTTTAAGGATATAGGGAGCGATTTCGCACACAGCCTATATATATATATATTTTTTTTTTTCATTTTACTTAACATTTTCTTAAATCTTAAAACTTTTCTACTTCCCCCTCTGTAATAAAAAACTGTTAACTTCAGGGAATTTCTACTTTTTTCAAGAAAAGAACTTTAATCATTTGGTATGTATACATAGATACTGGTTTTCCCCCCAAAATATTTGAGAATATGAATTGATAAAAAAGGATTTTTATTTTTAGATTTAATGTGAATGCTGATGAAATGTGTGTATATTTATTTATCAGATTGTTTTCATTGTGAATTGTATCAGAATCAGGGGCGGACTTAACCAATAAACAAGGTAAGCTTAGGGCCCCAACAAATACCCAACGGACCTTGTAAACCAATTTGACAATGAATATTTGACATTTTATTTAGAAATGAAGAAAAAATGGTGCTTAATTTGGTGTGTTGGGGCCCCACACCAGGGCCCCCAAATCACTGTCCCTGATCAGCATAAGCTGACATGAACAAAACCTGATGAGCTAAAGCACCTTGCGCTACGATGTACAAAGAGTCACATGATCAATGTCGCTGCTAATGACCTTGCTTATGTAGATTTTGACTGCCACACGTTTCAGACTTTTGGAGGCCGCTGTACAGTATATCACATGATTCAGCACAGCCAAACCGCTCGTCATCATAAAGCCATCAGCTTTCAGAATGAGCGCAGGAAACCTGGGCTTTATGTCCTTGCACAGAGACACTGCCATTTCCCTCTCTGGACTAAAAATGAGATTGTTTCTTTAGCCTTAAAACGTCTAAATAAATATTCAAGCTAATCACCAACAGCAAAGAACTGCCCCTGATAATGCCTCTGTGTCCTTTACCTTTGACCATCCAGGCCTCCAAAAACACCGTCCTCATGGTCGACCCTCTCTAACCCCAATGTCTTTGGGCTGCGTTCGAAATCACATACTACCCTACTGTATAGAAGGCAAAAAACAGTATGTCTGAATTTACAGCACTCATAAAAGAGTAGGTAAAAAGTACCGAGATCACCTACTAGTTCCGGTGAGATCCTGATGTGTGCATACGATGGACACTGTACTATCCCATGAGGCCACGGGGGAGGATTTGTGAATGCGACATAACTAATAATGACAACAGGGCGAATGTAGTACATTCATACTTCAAGCATGGAACGTACTTTTAAGTGCTCAGAAAGTTAGTATTCATTCAAAACAAGCGATTTCGGACGCAGCCCAGATCATCCAACCTGACCTAGGACCCTTGAACCCTCACCGATCATGAGCTATCCGTTAACTAAGCAAGTGTTTGCTCATTTGTAGTATTTTCATTTATCTGAAATTTGCCTTTTTGTATTTAACCATTTTATACTGTACCTGATGTGATTGGTCATTTGCCTATATTTTTTCTGAATGTATTCAGAAATTTATATTTAAACGTTGGTTAGTTGTCGGCCTCAAAGCAACTAGCAGTGTGCAATATTTGTAAACTACAGGCTTTGTCCATTTTTATTATAATTTCAGCTGGAAAATACTGTAATATGATGAAAACAAGAAATTTTTCATTCACATTTTGCTGTACTATAAGGTAACTGGATTAAACAAAAACAAACGAAAAAATCTTGTAAAACCAAAGTAGTTTTGTGACAGACCATTCTAGATGCTTATTGCATCTTTCAGACAAAATAAAAATGTCCAATCTTTGGTATGTGTTGTGTAAAGTCTGTTCAGAATTGTGTTTACCTGCTTTGTTAATGATCTGGACCAGGACAAGCTCACATGGAAATATTCTTTTTTCATATATATCAAAGATTAAACTTGATTATGACTTTGAACACAATTAAGCTTAAGCGACTCACTCTTTTACAGCTGATTTAACACATAAACAAGAGTCATTTATAACCTAAATATGACTTGGTTACTAATAAACAATAAAAAAATTCGTCATTTTTGCTGTCACATCCTCCGCACATTCGAGCTCTCAGGACGTCATTTAGTCAGGTTATTTGAACATTGATTCTATTCGCATTCCTACCTACCGGACCATTTCATCAGCGAGTTTTAGCTTGATTAATGAGGCAATCGGATTAGTTAGCCAAGTTCACGAAAAAAAAACCATTCAGTGCAATTAGTGAACCAATTCAACGCTCGAGCTCCGAGTCCGACTCCGAACCGAGGATCATACTTAGACAGTAAAAGAGGTATGGGCTGAAATATGTGCCACCAGAAACTGAATTTGAACCATTTATATTTGAATTTGAATGGCTAAACTTGAATAATTGCATTGAAAAACTGAATTTAAATCACATAATTTGAAATTGTATTGTTTAATTAAAATTGAATTTATTCAAAAACTGAAACTGAATTGTAAAATTTGAAATTGAATTTATTTGTTTGGAACTGAAGTCCAATAAAATTTGATCCTCACTGAAAATTAAACTCTCTATATATCTTCACATTCAGTTCTCAAATTCAATTTTAAGTTACTGAGACAGACATCCAGGTAGTTAGAGGATGAAGGAAGAGCAATCGAGCGCAGATCGATAGATAAAGTTCATTGGCGCACAGGACTCCTCTTAAGAGATCAGCTTGCCCTAGTGTACTGGGCTAATCTTATGGGACATAATCAGCCAGTATTAAGAAACTGTCAAGAGCGACTGAAAGAGGGAGTTAAAAGCTTTGGGTGGTCTCTAAAAAAAATTGAGAATATGGGGTTAAGTGAACTTAATATCTGTACTTCAGTACCATACTCTACAGTTCCCCTTGGACTTTTGAGGAACTAAAAGTGGATCTAGGATTACTTGAAGAAAAGCAGGAGAAGGAAGTGGACAAATGCAGAGTTCATAGATACATAGCAGAACATTACAAACAGGACATAATCATATTTACAGATGCTTCGAAAAGAACTGATAAAAGGAGTGGCGCATGTGGTGCCTGAATTGGGGCTGGCTGTTAAAAGGCTAAATGATGATTTGGCTGTAATTACGGCAGAGCTTGTAGCTATATGGTTTGCCCTGTTATGAGTAATAGAAAAATAGTTATAGCATCTGACTCTAGTTCTGGAGACTCTAGACCCTTCCAGTACCACTGTCGTTTTTTTGTTTTTTTTTTTTTGGGGTCGAAATTTTGAAATTCTCTGATCTTCTTGAGACTCTGGATTCTGATAGAGGGCCATGGGACTTAGGCCTGAGTGCAAAAATGGAGGCTCTAGACCCTTCCAGAGCTGAGATATTGAGATATTTATAATGGCAAAAATGCTACGTGGGATCTCAATTTTTCTCAGCTCTGGAAGGGTCTAGAGCCTCAATTTTTGCACTCAGGCCTAAGTCCCATGGCCCTCTATCAGAATCCAGAGTTTCAAGAAGATCAGGGAAAATTTTGACCAGAAAAAAAACGACAGTGTTACCCCTTACGTTTTTTTTGGGCGAAAAATTAAGTTTCTCCAATCTTCTCAAAACTCAGGATTCTGATAGAGGGCCATGAGACTTAGACCTGAGTGCAAAATGGAGGTTCTAGACCCTTCCAGAGCTGAGATATCGAAACTCAAAATTTCGACCCGAAAAAAAAAAGACAGTGTTACCCCTTACGTTTTTTTTGGGGGGCGAAAAATTAAGTATCCCAATCTTCTTGAAACTCTGGATTCTGATAGAAGGCCATGAGACTTAGACCTGAGTGCAAAATGGAGGCTCTAGACCCTTCCAGAGCTGAGATATGGGAACTCAAAATTTCGACCCGAAAAAAAAACGACAGTGTTACCCCTTACGTTTTTTTTCGTTTTCAGGCGAAAAATCAAGTTTCTCCAATCTTCTCAAAACTCTGGATTATGATAGAGGGCCGCGAGACTTCGACCTGAGCGCAAAAATGGAGGCTCTAGACCCTTCCAG